ATGATGCAAATAAAAGTTGAAATATTTTCAATATATATATCGAGTTATAAAGCTTCGATAAATATACAAAAATCATTTGTAATTTGTTAAATTGAATAATCGAAATTGATGTTGAGATGTTAATCTTGCGGTTTAATTTATATATCTCGTTAAATTTCGAATCTATCTAAAGATCTATCTGCTTCAAAGTATCAAAAAATATCGATAAATAAATAAACAAATAAATAAATAAATATACATATATAAAAGAAAAAAAACTTACCGCAAAGTAACCAAAAAAAATAAAATTGCGAAGAGATCTCCGATATCCAATTTATCGAAAAGAAAAGATCAAAATTACATTGCAAAGAAAAAAGAACACGAAAATAAAGTCTAATATAAAATACACGATCATCGAGTGAACCATTTTCAACAAGTATGAAAAGCAGTTAGCCGATGGCAGGGAATTTCACGCTCCGCGTATCCAGGTGATAATACGAACAAGAAGCGAGTCGTTGAACGCATCGTCGTGAATAAATCGGCCGTGCTAAATTTTTCTTTTTCTTTTTTTCTTTTTTTTTTTTCTTTCCCTCTTGCCCTCGAGCAATTCCAATCCTTTTCGAATCTCTTTCGAGAGAGAGAGAGAGAGAGAGAGAGAGAGAGAGAGAGAGAGAGAGAGAGAGAGAGAGAGAGAGAGAGAGAGAACCAAGAAACCACTTCTCTGCGACGGCCGTTGAAAATTCCAGGAACAAAGGAGAGGAACACGAGTGAGGAAAAAAGGAAAAAAAAATCGGAGGGAGGGATCTCGATTCCGGCAATTAATTACGAAGTGTAGCGAGACCGCGACACTTCATCGACGTTCCTGTCAGCGATTCTTTCCGGCTCGGTCAAAGCCAATTGCGCGTTAAACCCTTTTCTCCTCTCTTCTTCTTTCTTTTTCTCTTCTCCCTTCCTCGTAAAAGGAGGGGGAGGATCGTCTTCTTCTTGGGATCGTCTCGTTATGCACGCGTGTTTTCCCGGAACACGCCTTTCCCTTCTCGCTTCCTCTTCTCTCGTTTTTGTCCCCTCCTTTGTACCGTCTCCCTTGTAAATATTTGGCGACGTCGTCTGGGTATCGTGGGTGGCAACGCGAGAGGAAACGACGCGTGTGCCTCGTGATTTTTTTCCCCCTCCCTCTTCCCGAAAAACTCGAAAAAGTAGTTCAAAAAGTAATTGTAACTTTATACGTGAGTACGAGTGTGATGCAAGTAAATGATCCGAAAAATATTAAATATTTCTATAGTTTAAAAAGTAACGATAACTAACGAGTGTTGTGCGTGTAATAAGCGATCCGAAAAAATTAAATGTATCGAGTTTAAAGAGTAAAGATGACCAACGAGTGTTACGTGTACAAATATGTGTGGAAAAACTTAAATATTTCGTGTTTAAAAAGTAACTATAACTAACGAGTGTTGTGCGTGTAAATGCACGTGTAATAAGCGATTCGAAAAAATTAAATATATCGAGTTTAAAAAGTAAAAATGACTAACGAGTGTTATGTGTACAAATGTGTGTGAAAAAACTTAAATATTTCGTGTTTAAAAAGTAATATCTAACGAGTATCGTGTTATATAAGTGAACGATCTAGTTCGTATATCAATGAATGCTTTCTGAAAAGTAATAATTAATTTCGTTTATATAGTTAAACGGTTTTCGGAACGGAATGGACAAAAGTCGACAAAAATTGCGTCGTAATAATAAACGGTTTCGTAAACATAGATAAGCCTGGTGCTGCGAGCCACGAATATGAGTCACGCTGTTTTTGTTGACATTCTGTCTATTTTACGTTTCTTAATATTCTTACTTAGGTTTCATAGGAGAGGGCTTGGAAAAATAATCTTGGAAAAAGGATTAAAAAAGGGAGGGAAGGGAAACGACAAGTACGTTTTTTTAGAATGGAGTAGAAGAATTATGGAGGCGTAAAATTGATAATTATATCCGTATTAATAGAAAATAATATATATATATATGTATATATGCTTGAAAAAATAATCTTGGAAAAAGGATTAAAAAAGGGAGGGAAGGGAAACGACAAGTACGTTTTTTTAGAATCGAATAGAAGGATTATGAAGGCGTAAAATTGATAATTATATCCGTATTGTAATAGAAAGTAATATATATATATGTATATATGTGTGTGTATTTACCTAGCACACGTCGTCGAGCACGTGTTTACACCTCGGCGGTCGGAACGAGAATAAGGAAATTACGTCGAGACAAACGAAATTCGGTATCGATATGGTGGCAGCACCTTATCTATCCACTCTTCTATAATAATAAACGTTTATTAAATTGCATTAAATATTTAATGCATTGTGAAAATTCTTAATATTTTACAATATAAAATATTGTAATAAATATCGTATAAAAATATTGTGTACTCTTATCACTTTGAACTTTTTTTTTCGAACTCTATCTTTTTAAATACGTTTTTAATACGTACCATCGATTAAAATTTTTCCTACACAATCCGGGACGCAATCCTTTTACCCGAAATGCATCGAAACAAACGTGATTTCGAGAGGAGAAAAATCACGGGGATATTGAAAATGATATATATATATATATATATATATTTTTTTTTTCTCTCTCTCCTGTATCGTGTTGCGGTCGTTGAAACAGCGGGGGTGGAGTATCGTTTCGCGATACCAATCCGATAAGTTATCGGCATTATGCAGCGGCTTATAAAAACTGGACTGTCGTCGAACGGGTGCGCGGAATTAATCTCGATCAAGGCTATTTTTTTTTCCTCCTCCTCTCTTCTCTCTCTCTCTCTCTCTCTCTCTCTCTCGCTGCGTTTTTTTTTATTTTTTTTTTTTTTTTTTTTTTTTTGTTTTTTTGTTTTGCGGTCGTACGAACTAATACTGATTTATGGGCCGCGTTAATTCGAGATCATCTGCCGATTGTAAATATACGAAGTGTAAAAAATGTATTTTTGAAAAGGCCGCCAGATAACACGGAAAACGGATTTATCTGATTTACAGCCCGGGTAGTACACGCGGTTCCGCGGGAAACTTATTGTGAAATTTTTCCGCGGACTCTCGATTCTGATTTATCGAATCGAGATCCTTTACCGAATTTATTTATTTATTTATTCGACGTTTCGACGTTTGCGCGAATAGTTGTGAAATAGTTTCGTCTCGCATTCCGCGAAATTCTTCGAACGGGGGGAGGCTGATTACTCGCGATTAATTATTCGTGGATTATTCGATTTTTGGGTTTTGTTTTGAATTAAAAAATATTTCCAACTTTCGTTTTTTTTTTTTTCTCTCTCTCTTGAAAAATATTCTTTTCTCGCAGGAAAGAGAAATTTTGATAAATATAAGCCTCTGGAAAGAATTCATTCAAATATTCGCGTTTCTTTTGATGTTAATTATACGCTTTTTAATATCTGTTCTTAATATCGACGAGATTCGAATGGTTTCGAGGAATTTTCTATCTTCAAATATTGGTTACACGTTTCTCAACAAGATTGAGGAAATTTATCAAGATCTGCTTTTTACCAAATTTTCCATCCTCAATGTTGATTGATTAATTTCTCAACGACAAAAACTAATATCCAAATTATTCCTTTTTGCAAAAAAAAAAGAAAGAAATCAAAGAAATCTACATACATTTAAACACGAATATTTCAAACTTTCTATCTTCGATATTAATTAAATACAAATTAGAGAAATCCACGTACAAGACTTGCAAATTTTTCAACGAGACACGGATTAATAAAAGCATTTATCGACAAAAATTAATATCCAAATTATTTCTTTTTCCAAAAAAAAAAAAAAAAAAAAAAAANAAAAAAAAAAAAAGAAAGAAACCAAAGAAATCTACATATATTTAAACACAAATATTTCAAACTTTCTATTCTATCTTCGATATTAATTAAATAAAAAATACAAATTAGAGAAATCCGTATGTACAATTAAAGAATTTGCAAATTTTCTACTTTCAAGATTAATTATCCGCCAACGAGAGAGAGAAAGAGAAAAAAACACATTCTAATCCTTTCATTCGTGGACAAAAATTCTCATCGTATTTCAAGAAAACACAAACTGAAGAAATCCACGTATAAACACAAAACCTTCCCCACATCCAAAAATAATAATTCCATCCATCCACTACTTATCAATTATCCACATTTCAAAAATCCACTTGAGCAAAAAAATACAAAATAAAATAAATACAAAAACTTCCACCAAATTTTCTACTTTCAACTATCCAAGCATTAACTATCCTTAGCAAAAGAATTTCACTCCAATCCATCATTTATCGATCACAAACTGAAGAAATCCACGTATAAACACAAAACCTTCCCCACTATATACTATTTGAACAGTTATTATTCCAATTTTTGTACTTTTAATCATTTGTTTTCTATCATTAAAAATTTTGTATTTAATTGATGAAATTGTAAATCCATTTTTTTCTATTAAATCAATTGGCCATCAATGATATTGATCATACGAATACCCTGAATTTAATAATATTGAATTCGATTCTTATATATTGAACCATAGAAATTTAAATTAATTTCGATTATTAGAAACTGATAATCGTATAGTAATTCCAATAAGAATTCCTTTACGATTAATCACTTCATCAACAGATGTAATTCACTCACGAACTGTTCCATCATTAGGTATTAAAGTTGATGCAGTACCAGGACGTATTAACCAATTGAATTTAATTATAGAAAACGACCAGGAATCTTTTTTGCTCAATGCTCAGAAATTTGTGGAATAAATCATAGATATTTATACCAATTATATTATTGAATCAACTTCATTTAATTTTTCCTTAAATTGAGTATAATATAATATAATAATATAATAATATAATAAATATAATAAATAATATAATAAATTGAGTATAAAATATAAAAGATTAGTTAATTTTAAATGTAACATTATATTTGTCAAACTAAAATAAATTTTATAAATTATTTTTTAAAATTTCATTACATGAAATCTGAAATTTAAGAGTTGATCTTTTAAATCAAATATAATATACATCCGAGAATAATAATTCCATCCATCCAATACTACTTATCAATTATCCACATTTCAAGAAAACACAAACTAAAAAAAAATTGACGCAACTAAACAAAAAGACTTTCACTTCAAATTTTCTACTTTCAACTATCCAAGCATTAACCATCCTTAAATCCACCATTTATCGATCACGATAAATCATCGTCCTTAACATCAATCATTTTATCTCATTCCAAAGAAAAAAAAAAAAAAAAACACACACACACACCCAAAGAAATCCACGATTTCCCACTTTTAATTATCCACTTTTAATTATTATAAAATTTAATTATATTTATAAAACAAGCGAAGGCAAAGTTCCATCCAAGAACGAGGATTTCATTGGAGGGGGAGGGGAATCGTTTCTCTTTAAGGCCTCGTCAAATTTTTCCCAACCCTTAACAAGGTTGTCCCGACGCGGTTAGCCGTTAATCCGACCATCCAAATTCGCGTCCAACGATATTCGACCCTCTTTCCCTTCCATCCTATCCCCGGTTTCGGTTCTACGCGTTTGGTTTCGGTTGTACGCGCACACACGTATACCCAAACCGCGGCTCGAAGGGGCTCGAAGGAGGAGGAGGGATGCAGATGAGATTGGTATCTCGATGCGCGTAATCGTTGGATCTCCGGGAGCAGGACAATACCGGGTGTTCTCCAGTGTTCGGGAACACTCAAAACATCGCGCGACAATGGCGCAGAATGGGCGACAGCTGCCTGACACGCTGCTCTCCCGCGAGCCTCCCCCCCCCTCTCTCTCTTTCTATTTATCTATCTCTCTCTTTCTCCGTTGGCGCTCGACGGGACGAGGAAGAGAACGAGTTCATTGTTGGACGAGGTTTCAAGTTTTGATGGAAAATTTTTTGGAATATATATACACCAATCACGTGATGGAAATTTTTAATCATGCAACTTTTAAAGTTTTCGAACAGAAGTCGTCGAAGAGTATCTATAAGTTTATTTATTTGTTTATTGTATTTTGCTCGTTTTGTATTACTAGATTTTCAGATTCGTGCTATTATGGATAACAAAATATTTCTCTATTTCGATGATTATATACGATTGTGAGGTTGAAACTGAAGATTTGGAGACGCGTGTCCAATGTAATTCGTAATTTAAAATTATTTCCCCGTTCAAAATAATCCATCTTTCCCCTTCTCCTCCAACTAAGAAAGTTAAGCTTGGACTGAATCAAACAACGGAAACAGACTCGTCGAATTTTCCAATCCAATCCAAAATTAACCCAAAATTATTTTCAATATTCAATATTTCCTCTCCTCCTCCTCCTCCTTCTCTTTTTTTCTTTCCTCATCCTCGAAAAAAAAAAATGTCTCGAAAAACCGAAGTGAAAGCGGGGTTCCATTCTCACCGGGGGGGGGATAGAGGGCGGCCTCTCCCCTCCCCTTTCCCTTCCTCGGCCGTAAAAACCGAAAATCCGCAGATCGGCGATCGCCGATAAACGAAAATACAGCTGCGGTTTGCGGTCGCACGATGCAGCGCCTGCCATCTACCAGATCCTCCGCCCCGATTAACGAGCCGATTTTGTGTATTTTGACTATTAGGAGTATTGGGCCGTAATTTGCCGAGCATTGTCGGGGCCCGTTGTCGGGTGGCGCGGCGACGAAAAATTCCCCGCGTCTTCCTCGCCTTCCTCGGCGGGAGGTGCATCCGAGGGAGGACGAATTCCCTCTCTCGAGAGGGGGATTCGTTGTTTGCGGTTGTTGGCAGGTCTCGCTCTCCCCTGTCGGGGAGGGGGACCATTGTCCATCCGTCGTCCAAGGGGATTCGAAATCCAGGGGAATTTGCGCGGAATTGTGTTGAGAGTTTCGTGAATTATTACAAGAATGGAAGAAAGAGAATTTTTCTACGATAATTAATAGATATAAGTAGATATAATAAGTAGTAAATTGTTATAGAATTTAAAGTTCACTGAAATTTTATATATATATATATATATATATGATTTCATTATTGAATGTTGTCAGCAACATTACTATTTCATAATCGGTAGCTATTTCTTTCTCTTCGATACACGTATTTCAAATGTTTTATAAACAGATACGCGTATAATTAAATATATATTCATTCAGCTGAACCGGTATATTTTATTTATTGTTTTCCAGTCAACATAGATATAAGATAGAAGTAATTTTAAACTTTCTCTCCGAGTAAACTTTCCTTCCCTTTCTTTTCCTCCCTTCGAAACTAAAAAAAAGCAACGCCCTCGAAACTCCTCTTCTTTTTCTTTCCCTTGGAGAAGGTTATAACAGGTATTATTCCTTCCTTTCCTATTTCGAAAACGAATACAATAATCGATCGGACGAGGAAGGATGAGAGAGTTTGGGAGGGGGGGGGGAGGGGAGGATGTCGTACGTTCGGTTATGTTGGGCTAGGTCCCCCCGTGGGGACTGGTAGCAGCCCGATGGTTAGCCGTAGGTGGGCAGCGCGACAATATGGGGATGGTATCAATCTCGACACCTGGCCGATTCTCCTCAACGGGCAAGTCACTCTGGTAATTTATTTTCACGGCCACCCCGCCCACGCGCCTCCTTATTTGGACCAAACGAAGATTCCCTGAAAAAAAGAAGGAAAGCCTCTATTAACCACCTTTTCATTTAATCGTGGATTAAATAAAAACCTAGATCTAACCCTCTGTTATTCTGGGGGAGGGGGGAAAGGTGTGGCAAGACGGTAGCCAAATCAACGCGTCGCGTTGAACACGGTCTCCCCTCTCCCTCTCCTGTCCCTTCTTGGGGATAACAGGATGTCCTTTGATTGCTCTCTTGTTGGACGAACGTTCGAACCAAGGGCCACGAATTTCTACGAGTATTAACATTTTTCAATATGAAAAGCTCAAGGGGTCTTTCGTGATCTCCGAAAGAGAAATCGAAACGTTGTTTTCGTATATATATTCGTCCAATTTTAAATAGCTATTATTATATCTCGAGAGCTGACATTTAGTGGTTTATTTAAGAAAATTGTAAGAAAAACTCGTGTGATTGTAATGACATTTTCGGGATACTTTTACTTGTTTATTACTCGGGAAGAAGCAAGAAAAACAAGTTACGAGTAAAGTCTGTGTAATTAACAGTAGCCATTGTCAAAGGCTTGTTTTCAAACGTTAAAAACGCGCCAACAAGACTCCTCGAAATAAAGGCACTTTGATTGAAACGAATAACAATAATATACATATATATTAAAAATTCTCGAACGTTAGGTTAAAACAACGAGGTCGAGGAGGTTCTCAGAGTCAGGTTGTTGGAGAACGTCCGAGAGGGTGAGAGACTTGAACTCGACGAGACACGTATTAATTAGAATTAATTACAACGACAAGATATATATATATAACTGGTTACATCCTCGACAAAGAAATAATTTCTCAGGCGGCCGTCTAATTAGAAGAGGGGGATAGGGGACAAAGCCCTCTTTCTTCCTCTCGCTTTGTGCACCGTTTCGTGCAAACTCGCGTGAAAGCTTGTGTCAAACAGGAAGAAGAGACGTCTCCTCGCTTTGATCATCGTGGACGTTGGAAAAAAAAAAAAAGAAAAAAGAGTAAAAAAAATATATATATATATATATCTCCAAAAAGCGTATAATAATAATAATAGGAGGAAAATTGAGGAATACCCTCGTGGCGAATGGGGAAAAAAAAAAAAAAAAAAAGGAATACGCGAGTTGGAAGAAATGGCGAATGAAACGAGGAGGGGAGGAGGGAAAGCGAATGGAGAAGAGAGAGAGAGAGAGAGAGAGAGAGAAAAGCTGGTTTCCTATGACGGGGCATGAGCACATCGTGTCCCGTCGTCCTCGTCGTCTATGCAGATACGCCGAGCTGATACGTTTCAAGCTCCCGGTCTAGCCCCCACAGATAGAAGCGATATTATTCAGCTAGCCTCCTCACTAATTCCATTCATTCGCTCGAAATGGAGACGCTGGGAGGGAGAGGGGAGGGGAGAGAGAGAGAGGGCAGCAGTACCGGACCCTAGCATTCGAGGAACGTGCCCTGGCACCCCTCGAATCTACGCACCACCCCCTTTTTTATTTTTTTTTTTTTTTTTTTTTTTTTACTTTTTTTACTCTTAATCTCTTAATAGTCGTTTGGATATTTATTGTGTTATTCTTCGTGACAGATTTCGTGTTACGACTCTTTTCAATCGAAAGGACGAAAGTAGCGATTCGAGGCGAGATTTTGTTTATGTATATTAAGTTGCGAGTTATTTATCGTCTGCCACGCAGATTTTTCTGAGAATAGCCAATAATTATTATTTTGCATTTTTTTTCGTTACGCGAGTCATCGAGTTCCAAATACCAGTGAATAACGTTATATAGCATATTTTTATTTTACGACTCTTTTCAATCGAAAGGGCGAAAGTAGCGATTCGAGGCGAGATTTTGTTTATGTATATTGAGTTGCGAGTTATTTATCGTCTGCCACGCAGATTTTTCTGAGAATAGCCAATAATTATTATTTTGCATTTTTTTTCTTCGATTCTTTTTCAATTCGATCACCTCTCTTGTCGTAATAATTTGTAGTAATTTGAATTACTGTCCAATCCGTGTATCTCGTTACGCGAGTCATCGGGTTCCAAATACCAGTGAATAACGTTATATGGCATATTTTTCATTTTTATTTCGTAATTTTATTTTATTTTTTTTTTTCTATTTTATTTTAACGCTCTGTATAAATTTTTATTGAACGAGTTGAAAAAAAATATATATATATGTACATATGTGGCTGTTAGTCTATTTAAAAAATGAGTATGGTTATATGAAATAAATAATAAAATTTTTTGGTTTGGAAGATGAGAATAACTGTTGCAAAGGAACATCATCATCTTTGCCTTTTATTACTTCTTCCTTTCCATTGCCAGACTCGTCTTCAACTACTGAATCACACTATCTGGTAATACATTGATCCTAACAGCATTCTTATCTTTTCCATAAAACATCGACGGCTGCATCCCTTTAAAATTCAAGTTCTCCCCAATTGAGAATAGAGAGAATTATATTATATGTTACATATATTTCTACATTTTTCATATATTCATTCCTTGCATTCTCTTTCCTATATTATACAATTAAACGCAATTTTATTATTTTTATATTAACGAATTCAACAATAAATAAATATACATGTAATCCATACAAAATCTCAAAATCTGTTCTCCCAATTCTCCAATATCTTTCAAGCCGCTGTGCGACCGAGACTCGCCCCTCAAACGTCTCAAAAATCTCAAAAAAATCTCAAAAATCCGTCAAATTTCCAAATTATTGGAAAATCTGTGGAAACGTTAACAACTCACATGACTCTAAATTTATTCGTATTATTCCATGTAAATCGTATGGCGTATAGAGAATTCGATAAATTTATCCGAAAATGAGGCCAACTCGTTTCTGAGCAGATGCGAATTACACGGGCGGTGTTTGGATCGCCACGGGGGGTGTCTCCTCCGCGTTACGTCCTTGCCACGTAACCCTCGTTAAGGGGTTTCTTAATGGGCACAGGCCCATTCCTATTCGATAGTTTACCGGAGGAGGACTATCAACCTGCCGCCTTACTAATCCCGCCACTGTTTAACCTCGCCACTCTTACTCGTGTAATGGCTCCGCCAATCATTGAAAAATCTATCGAAACGATGGACAGAAGGATGGTTCGAACGAATGGGAGGTAATTCGAATTGTTTCTTTGTTCTTGTTAAATTAACGTTGCATTTAATTACGTGTATATATGGGATAAGAAAAGAAGATGATGTAAGGGATGATAGCAGGAAAATTGGAATACGAATATTTCGAATATTCGATAAAATGGAACCTTGAGGTATTCTAAAGAAACGGATGGATCGAGGAAAGAATGCTCGTTGAAATAAGAAATTACTGTACATAGGACGATCCTATCCTGTAAAATTATCCCATGCATATGGATCTGTATTGAAGTTTGAAATATTATTAATTTCTATAATGATTAATCTGCCTGTGTATTTTTGTTCAATTTGTAAAAACTTTAAAAAGAGGATTTAAAATTGTATGACTATTTTACTACACCATCGAAACGATTATTTTATTTATATATTTTTGAAAAATAATTTTGTTCAATTAATAATTTAACAAAGGGAGGATGAAAACGATGAAAATTATAATAAAAAGAAGACGTATTGCCTGTGTATTTTGTTCAATTTGTAAAGACTTTAAAAAGAGGATTTAAAATTGTATCGTATGACTATTTTACTACACCATCGAAACGATTATTTTATTTATATATTTTTGAAAAATAATTTCGTTCAATTAATAATTTAACAAAGGGAGGATGAAAACGATGAAACTGAAAATTATAATAAAAAGAAGACGTATTGCCTGTGTATTTTGTATTCAATTTGTAAAAATTTTAAAAAGAGGATTTAAAATTGTATGACTATTTTACTACACCATCGAAACGATTATTTTATTTATATATTTTTGAAAAATAATTTCGTTCAATTAATAATTTAACAAAGGGAGGATGAAAACGATGAAAGTGAAAATTATAATAAAAAGAAGACGTATTGCATATCGATCATTAAAAAAATTGCCAAAATTAAGAATTGGGAATATTATTATGTGTATATTATGACGCAAAGATTAAAATTGATCCATAAATAAGAATGCCTGGATCAAAGAAATCCGATAAATGGAGAGTTAATTTTAATATAGTTTTGCAAAGTTTTGCAAATCAAATATGGCGGTAAAGAAAGTTTCTTATGGAACGTATAAAAATATCGTATCGAATTTCTAATTTGATTTACAAAAAAAAAAAATCTTATCGATTTAAATTAAAATAGATATTAAATACCCGTTACTATAAAATTGAAGTTTGAAACGCTTTCTTAATAAATTTACAGAATATTTCCATATGATCGTATAATCTATCTTGCATATATTTTGTTCAATCTGTGAAAAGTTTAAAAAGAGGATTTAAAATTGTGATATTAAAATCGTATGACTGTTACTACACCATCGAAACGATTATTTTATTTATATATTTGAAAATTAATTTTGTCCAATTAATATATATACTCGAACCACTTGATTATACATTTTAAACAATTTGATTTGATTTGAAGTATCGAAAAATTTGTATAGATTTAATAATATAGATAGAAGTTAATAATATTTCAAGAATATTTCAATAAAAAAACAATCGAATCCTTAACGAATACCTGCAAAAATCTATCGCAAGATAACGTGTTAAGAAAAACGTGTGAGTCTCACTGAAGAGAGAGAGAGAGAGAGAGAGAGAGAGAGAGAGAGAGAGAGAGAGAGAGAGAGAGAGAGGAGGTTAAAGTAGATGCAAAGAGAACGGTAGGAGGAGTACAGGAAACGGTTGGTATGACGTAATTGGCCGATCAGCCAAGTTGAAACAACGTAGCGGTCTAATAACAGGGGAGGGAATGAATGCGCCGCGTCATCATCACCGGTGCTCTCGAGCAAGAAGGTCACACGGTTAATGTATTCAGATTTCCGTGGATGGGCGTTTATCGAAGCAAAGTGCTGGGCGTCCGCTTCTTACCCTTCGAAATTTCTTACTCCCCTCCTCCTTCTCC